ATTTGCTCTCTGGAGAAGAGCTCAGAGAAGTGAACTTGAAAGACTTGGTAGGTAAAAAACCTCTATGCTTTTTTTCAAGGGCTCGCCTTGTTATGACACAATAAGTCTTACTTACTCTTTAAATTGCAGATATTTGGAGCCTACATGTACGGGATTTCCATTCTTTTCTTCATTTACATGTATGTTGTGTTGTTGCTAAATCCACGCTGGTATTGGACAATCAACTTCTTGGAGGTAAGGTTTGCTAGTCGGCAAAAGCAGACGACGAATGAAAATAGCGTTTTAATTTTAAGTCACTCGGTAGAAGACGAATTTAGTATCTTACCAAGAGTGTGCTTACATGGCTGTAACAACTTTTTAGCCTAAGGGTCATATTTTATTAATGACTATATTGTTACTAACTTTATCCTTCAGAAATATCTTAAACGCGCGGAAACCAGCCAGTCCTCTATTTTTACTACTGTAGCAACTGTGCGAAAAGCCACTCACTGCGGGTCTTCTACTGGAAGTCTTTTTCTCCGATTAGGATGTGTTGGTAGGAGTTGTGCTCACTGTTGCCATCTCCACGCTTCACTTCGCTCTACATCGCACTTTATCAGTTATTTCAGCATTCGGCGTCACTGGAGTGGTATATTATGCCTTCCTTGTCTTTCTCTGCACAGCAGACCGCGGTTGCACTCCTTTTGCAACTACACTTGATATCTGTGCAGTCGTGTTCATATTCACTCAAATGCATTTCATCTTCTGCAACTCTAAGGTATACCTGTGCCAAAATGTTAAACAAAAGTCAAATTCGGGACCATGCTGATAAAACAACCTCTTTCTAGCTGTCTATTACTGGTCACCACACCGCCGCTCGTTTTGGCACTATGCATTTGATAGCAGCAAATCTATGGACATGGATAAGATATGTCCTCATGGAGGAAGGTGTCATGGAGAGAGAAGTAAGGTCAGGAATTTTAGCACCTGTAATCATCAGAATGAAAAATCGTAGTGAGCATAATCGAACAGCCCAAAGAAATTTACATTTCATTTCTGCAGCAACTTTTTCTAGCAGAGAGGCGTTCCAGCGAAATCACTGCAGGGCAAAATAGAAAGATTTCTCGTTGGCTATTATAGGGAGGTGTTTCACGCGATTAATAATCGCACCGAACCTGCAATGGATGAGGAAATGGTGGATGCATTTGGACATCGGGAGGTCAATTTCGTTAAAGGATGCCGTGCTGCTGAATGCATCCTCGGTAGGCGGTTCTATACTGTACTAATGTTTGGCGAGCCTACATATGTTTACGCAGGTAGTCTCTCTGAAGTGATGTTCACAGCGATAGTGGAATACTCATTAATAGCCGCTGCAGTGATGTACATTGTTTGGCGAAACATTGGAAAAGCAAGACATG